CATCTTGACAAACACTGTTATGTATTATCCAATATTGTATCAATTCTTCTCACCATCTACTCACAATAACTCTCATTTGCTCTTCTGCTTTCCATACACCATATTATACCCTGTTCTACCATGACACTACCTCCTCTCCCTTTCTCCTCTTCCCTGCCTCCTTTCTTCCCTCTACCATCTCTCTCTTGTCTACTTTCCCTTCCTCTATCTTTCTCCTCTCTCCTCTTTCCGCTCTCTCTCTTCTACTCTTTTCACCTCTACTTTCTCCTATGCCCTCTCTACCCCTCGTATCCTCTCCTCTCCACCCTTCCATTCTCTCCGCTTAACTTACATGGCGTATTTCAGCATCTGATCAGACTCAGTTTAATATTGATGATGTTATGTAATTGTTACGTTCGCAATAATCATCTTTCATATTAATAATGTTACATACATCTCTCCTCTCTCCTCTTTCCGCTCTCTCTCTTCTACTTTTTTCACCTCTACTTTCCTTTCTCCTATGCCCTCTCTTCCCCTCGTATCCTCTCCTCTCCACCCTTCCATTCTCTCCGCTTAACTTACATGGTGTATTTCAGCATCTGATCAGACTCAGTTTAATATTGATGATGTTATGTAATTGTTACGTTCACAATAATCATCTTTCATATTAATAAAGTGTATGCATATATAAGAAGTTGAAAAGGTTTTAAATACTTCTGGCAAACTACGTTGGTTGAACTTCTACTAGGATCCAAAGATGTTTCATCACCACTGTATGCACCAATTCGGTAAGCTCCACTTGAGAACTCCTTCGTTCGTAATAGTTACGTGCATCTCTCTAGTCCTTTTAAACCCCAAAAAGGTCAGACAGTGAACACAGCATAAAACTCAAGCCAGACACAAATACATATTAAGATCTCGACATTCCTCAAACCACTGGCTTATTTTGTGGGATGGAAAGGCATTAGCTTTTAGTGTTCCCATGCTGGCAAACACTTTTTTCTCTCACTGTGTGCTAAATATATAACCGCACAGCACTGACGCGGACTTTGGTTGTGAAGTTTTCATACTCAGATGACAAAGGGATGTGTGTTTAGTGATTTGCAGGAAACGTTCAGCCATACATACAGTACATGTCCCAGACACTTAAGACGCAAAGAATATCTCCTGTCCTTTATTTCATTGGGAATTTTACCACCCAAAAAAGCAAAGGTTTTATTAATGGTGCATATTTATTTGACGAAGTTTTCTCTCTGGTAATGCTAGACTGCTAACTAAGGCATACGAAAAGGGCGGCATACAAATGAAATAAACAGTTAAACAGTTTGCCAGACCTATCCTTGAATACTACTCACCTGCCTGGAACCCACACTGCGTTTCGGACATTAAAACATTAGAGAGTGTCCAGAGGTATTTTACAAGAAGAGTCCTCAGCTCCTCTGCTCGCAATAAAATTCCTTATAGCGCCAGGTTTGAAATTTTAGGCCTAGATAACCTTGAACTACGCTGTCTACGTTCCAACCTTAGCTTAGTACACAAGGTTATCTGCCATAATGCCCTTCCTGTTAGCAACTACTTTAACTTCAATCTCAATAACGCAAGAGCTATCAATAAATGCAAACTAAATGCAATCTGCTCTAATCTTGATAGCAGAAAATACGACTTCAGCAATAGAGTAGTAAATTTCTGGAACACTCTACTTGATTCTGTTGTTAGTTCCTCTAACCCCCATACCTTTTACCTTAAACTGTCTACCATGGACCTTACACATTTCTTAAGAGGTCCCTAAGTGGGTGTGCATAAGCGCACTAGTGTGCCTACTGTCCCCGTCCTACTGTCCTCATTTAAATGTATTTATTTTATAGCAATAGCAATAGCAGTTAGACTTATATACCGCTTCATAGGTCTTCATAGGGCTTTCAGCGGTTTACAGAGTCAGCATATCGCCCCCACAGTCTGGGTCCTTATTTCACCCACCTCGGAAGGATGGAAGGCTGAGTCAACCTTGAGCCGGTGAGATTAGAACCGCTGAACTGCAGGTAGCAGTCAGCTGAAGTGGCCTGCTGTACCGCGCCCTAACCACTGCGCCACCTCGGCATTTTATGTGTCTGTGGCTATCTTTTGCTTACTTACATTCATTTATTTGAGCTGATACTTGTTTCCTTGTACTTGTTGACAAATAAATAAATATTTCTGATCTGATAGGGATAGGTTTTTTCTTGTGCCATCATTTTTTCTCAACTCTAGGAAGGAAGCAATGGCAAACCAATTCTGAAAAAATCTTGCCAAAAATTCATATATTTTTTTACTGGGCGTGGCGTGGTGGGTATGCCAGGGGAAGGATACTGAAAAATCTCCATTTCCTCACCACTCCTGGGGGAAGGATATTGTAAAATCTACATTCCCACTTAGGGCCAGCCAGAGGTGGTATTTGCCAGTTCTCCGAACTAGTCAAAATTTCTACTCCCAGTTCTCCAGAACCTGTCAGAACCTGCTGAATTTCACCCCTGGGGAAAACCCTCATAGATTAAAAAAAATAGGTGTTTCTAGTTTGTCTGAATTAATCCCAGTTTCTTAGTTTTCAGATAGCACTGTTTAAGTCACTGGCAATACGCTTGGCTTCACTAGTTACCTGTGAAACACAACTTGTTGCTTAGTGTGCAAAGCGGATTGGGTTCCCACAAGTGTAGTTGTCCTAGAAACTAGTTTGGTAAGTTCTGTGTTTTGCAAATCTAGAAAAATCATCCATAGTTTATGGTTTACTGTGTTGCAAAACTCAGAGTTCTCCAAAGTAGAACCGAAGAATCCCTAAATTTGTATTAGGTGCTACCTAGGTAACTGCACTTTTGGGCAGCTATGTTTAAGCCACACATAATCAGTGCTAGAAATCTTGTTCCAGATTTAAAATTGAGGTGTAAACTGCATCCCAGCTGCCATGAAACCCACTAATTTCATATGTCTTGATGGTGTCATATGGCTTGATTTTGCCTTAAATATGTTAGTTGAACAGAGCCACCATTCGTTGGAAATGAGGATTCAGAGTTTAGTGCCCTTTGTAAAGTTAGGCAATTCTTTTTTGTGTGTGTGTGTGGGGGTTCAATTATTTTTTATTCTCTTAAATATACATTCACATAATTGTTATTCTTCTTTACATTTGTCATTCTTATACACTTATTGTTTCATTTAATAGGTTATATTATACAGTTTGGGCTGCTTTATTTACCATCCTTTCCTCCTGTTGCAACACCACTTTATTTCCCCCCTTTTTTTCTCCCTCCCTCCATTCTCTACTTCCTTCTTCCCTTACCTTTTTCCTACTCCTACTCTTCCTCTTCCCCCTTCCTACCCTTCTCCTTCTCCTTCTTTCTCTTCCATCCTTCTCTCCTTACCTCTTTCTTCTCCCCTCCCTCTTTCTTTCATTCTCTCTCCCTCTCAGTCTATGTTTCATTGGGAAGTTAGACAATTCTGAACTATTACTCAATCTGTTGAGCAGACAGTTAGCTTCAGAGCTTTCTTTTTTTTTTTTTTAACACCCTCTCAGAAGAGTGAAAATGATTTCCTGGCTAGTCTCAGCCAACACATTAAGTTAAACGAGACAAGGTTCCCACTTAATGGGAGTGACCGACTGGAAGCCGAGCGGGCAAAAAGTCCACTGCATTCAATGGACTGACCACATGATCTCCCCGCCCTATTCTTCTACTCAGAAGAAAGCCTCTTGGGAGTTCCTTGGGATCTGACCCGCAAGGTAGCACACGGCAGCCTTAAGCAGGTACATTCTGCCCTAAAGACTCCACGGCCGCTGCAAAACGGGTGTCCAGCGAAGTCATTGAGATAGCATCTGCTTCCCTTTGTTCACAACTGCACCTCATTTAATTGTGTATTGTTTTTACCGGGTTCGTAGCCTGCCTACTGCAGACAGCCCGGAGGCTCTTGCAGGAGGCGATCAAGCGAGACTCCCTTCTCTTTAAGGGAGCCGCCGAAGCACACCTGGCTGCGTGCGCGCGCGTGTGTGCAAGAAGCCCCTAGCCCAGCTGAGCCCAGCCTCCCAGGCAGGAGACGGCGGCTGGCCCGGCGCCTGCGGCGGAGGTGTTAGCCAACGGGAAATTCATTGGCTCTTCGGCACTTCTCGCTCGGCCGTCGGGCTCAGTTCCTCATCACCACCGGCGCAGAGGCTGCAAGCTCGCCGCCGCCGGCCGCCTCCAAAGGAGATCCCGGGCTGGCGCGCCCTTGGGATCCCACCTGCCTTTCCTCCCCCCCCCAAGGATCCACATTCCTGGGATCCCACCAGCCCCGTCCCCCTTCGGATCCACTTTCTCCAGTGTTTCGCGGCCGTCTCCTTTGCAGGATCGAAAAACTTCGCAACTTGTTCGCCCGGCGCTTTCGGAGCATCCGCTTCCCCATTTTCCCCCCTCCCAGGGTGACTCGGCCGGGAGGAGCTGCCGTCTCCCCTCTGACCCAGCCAGCGGGCCCGGCCGCTGAGGCCTGGCCGGGGAAGGATCGCCGGAGCAGAAAGGCGGCATGAGAGAAGCGCGCAGGCAGAGGATCGGCTGCAGAACCGCACATCGCCCGGCGACCTTTCCGCGGCCTCAGTTACCCCAGGCCGTTTTTGGACTCGGCAGCGACTGGCGGGGACCTGCTTTTGCAAGACTTAAAGGGGTTTTGCGTTTTGTTTCCTACCCTCTTTTCTTGGAGGAACCTGAAAATACGGGCCCCGTGGATTTCTAAACCCTTCGACCGACTCCGATTCCCGCGCCTGCTAAAAGATCCCTCGCTCGCTCCCAACTTCGAAACCCCCAAACTCTTGCTAGCAGCGTTGCAAACGGGCGAGACTTTCCTCCCCCTTCTTTTTGGCAATTCCCTCCCGCGCCAAAGAAAGCCCGCCGCTTGCGTTATTGGAAAGAGACTTAAGGAAAAGGGGGGTCGATCTTGCTTTAAATCTTGCCCCCCCCTTTCCTCCCCTCCCCTCCCCCGAGAGGGAGGGAGGGAGGGGGGAAAAAAAAAGAAAAGAAGGCTCCCTCGCGATGGCCGCGAGCGGAGACTCGGCCAGCGCCATCCCCCCTCGGGCCGGTTGGACTCTGCGGGAGGACGAAGCCGCCTCGGCAACGGCCGCGGCGGTAGAGGGAGCCGGTTGCAACGGCTGCTGCTCCTCTTTAGCCGGCCCGAAGGAAGTGAAGCAAAGCAGCAGCAGCAGCAGGCGAGAAGGAGGCTCCTCCAGCGGCGAGAGAACTTGCCAGAGAAGGAAACTTCCCTGGGTTTTGGGCGCCGGGTCGGTGGCGCTGCTCCTGGCTTTGGGGACCGTCTTGGGGCCGGACGCTGGAGAAGAAGCGGGCCTGGAGGGCCCCCCAGGTGAGCCCAGCTGGTCCCCGCCGCCCGGCCCGGCGCTGTGCTGCTGCTGCCTCCTCCTGGCCGCCTACTTCTGGCTGGGACTGGAGCTGCTGCGCGCCGGGCTCCGCTTGCGCACCGCCGTCCTGCTCCTGGCCGTCTGCTGCTGCGGCGGGGAAGCGCTCGCCGGCTCGGCGCTGGGGGGAGAAGATCACCGCTTGCTCTCGGCCGGCTTGGGGCTGTGCAGCCTGGCCGGCTGGGCATGGCTTCTCCTGCCCCGGCTCCGCCACGGCGTCCTCATGCTGGCCTTGACTAGCGTGCTGCGCCTCGCCTCGCTCGGCTTCTTGGAGGGCGTCCGGGCGCCGTGGAGACCTCACCTGGCTTATCTCCTGGGCTTGCTGGGCATCCTCCTGGCCAGCTGCGCTCGGCACGCCTCCGGAAAGCGGGAGGAGGAGGAGGAGAGCCGACCAGGAGCGGAAGGAGCCGAGTCCTCCTCCTTCGCCGCCGCTGCTGCTGTTACCGCTGCCGCCCGGCCGGCCAAGGAAGACGCGGCGGGCTTGAAGAGGAGGCGGCGGTCCAGCTCCGTGATCTCCGCCGAGATGGCAGGTTGCGGCGGCAAGAGCCACCGGAGGACCTCGCTGCCTTGCATCCCTCGCGAGCAGGTAAGCGGGGAGCGCTGCGGGGGGAAAGGCGCGGGCGGGCTGAAGTCGGCGCCCGGCTGGGGGAGAAGAGTTTGCAAAAGCCGCGCCGAGGCAAGAAAGTTCGGCGCCGCTTTTATTTTCTTCTCCTTTCTCTTTGGAAAATGGGGGAAGCGAACCCGCCACAATTTTATTTTATTTCTTTATTTCGTCAAGCATGAATTAAATAACAGATGTAAGATTATGAATACATGAAATGGATACGAATACAAGGGAACATTAGGACAGGGACGGTAGGCACGCTTATGCACGCCTCCTTTACAGACCTCTTAGGAATGGGGTGACAGTAGACAGTCTAAGGTTAAAGTTTTGGGGTCTCTTGGCTCGCTTATTTCCCCGAACTCCCCTCGTTGTTTTTTCCTTTGGCCATGCGGTGGTTCGAAACAATCCGGGGGAAGCCCCGATTTGCAGTCCTAAAGGTAGAGAATTTGGGTCATTTAGCCCCCTTCCCTCTCAGCCAATTTTTTTCTTAATGCCTCGAAGCACATGGTGTAACTTGGTTGGACTAGATGACCTCCAAGGTCCCTTCCAACTCTGTTACTGTAAAGTTGTTAAAAGAGTTGCTTCAGGTCAGGATAAGAAGACTTTTCAGACCCCCAACCTACTAAGTGCAGCCCCCTATGTGAAGAAAATTCATAATTTCATTGGGTTGATTAAATCGCAAAAGGCCAGGCAAAACATAGGGTAGTGATGTTTTTTTTTTTAATGTTGCGTCGACTTTTGAAGAGGACCAGGACCCCCCCCCTCTTCCAGGCGACCCACTGTTTGAAGAGGACCAGGAACCCCCCCCCCTCTTCCAGGTGACCCATTGTTTGAAGACCCCTATCCCAGTCCCATGCTAAAAGCATTTCTGTTTTTTCATCCTTCCCTGTAAATTGCTTGTGAGCTTGTCATAGCTCTCTTGCGTAACTTTAAAGATCATCCCTCTCTTGAGAATAATTTGAGAGAAGAATTTATCAGCAAAAAAAAAGGAGTATCTGTATGTTTTAAAGGAAAAGGACTTGTTTTTGAACAGCTGGTGCTAATTCTGCACCAAGGGATGTATTTACAAATCCAAAGCAAGCAGAAGTTAAGTTTTATTTTATTTTTAGGGGTGCAAACGAGTTGTACCTTTTTCATGGCAAGGCCTTCAACAACTCAGTTACTTGAGTGTTTGCTTTTTTGCACACTTAACTATGTTGTAGTTAGATTTCCGTTGATGTGACAGCTTAAGGTCGCTGGATTTTCTTGACTGCATCTGTGGTGTCTCTATTTGAGTTTGGGATGGTTGAGAAACTTTTTTACATAACTTTGAGAAACCAGAAATTGGATTTCTTTGTGGTGAAAAGCTCCAAACAGCCAATATAGAAATGCAATATTGCAAGTTAGTTTTCATCTACTTCATTTTAAATCTATTTTTCCAGTTTTAAAACTTGCTCGTTTAATTTTGTTTTAAGCAGCCAAGATTTTACTCCTAGAAAAATGTTGAGTTGAAACTTTTACAATATTATTTAAATTCAAGATAAGGCCATTTATTTAAGGTGATACATACTAACCAGACAGATCTTTAAATGTGAATATTTCAATTCCACTGGGCGGTAAAATAATTAGCTTTGATAATAATATCAGATAATATGATGTGTTTAACTGATGCTTTACGATGCTTTAACTGTAGCAGGAATTTCCACTGGTTATTTTGGAGATGTGAAGCTTTTGCTAAGTTTGAAGAAGAAAATAACTTTAATCACACACTGTGGAAGAAATTTTGCGTTTTCCCATTTTTTTAAAAAAAATTTTTTGGGGGGAATTCATAGTAAAGGATAGGGAGGAAAGGAGAAAATTCTGTAGCTCTAAGCAAGGTTTCTTGGAAGGTTGAGTAAAATCCATTAATCTGGTTGTACATTTGCATATGTATTAAGTATATGCCATTTGACTGGATATTATTTACAAAAATGAATTTTAACCTCCCCCCCTCTCCAAGGCAGTGACATTAAATTTTTAACAGTTGGCAGATACTCCCGTCTTCAATGCTGGAATTGTTTAATTTTACATTTTTCAGATTGCTTGTCTCGTCTGCTGCAGGTTGTTTGAGGTTTAATTGGTCACAAATGCACTTAATAAATTTAAGGGAAAGAAGGAATACTGACCATATTTCTCAAGAGCAAAAACCACAAATAAAAATGGATCCTAAAACTTGGAGTCAGTCCTCAATGCTTTGTCATATTCCTTTGTGCCACAGTGGGAGGGAAAATAAAAATAAAAAATGAAACCATACATTCTTAATTAAAACCAAGGGGGGGTGGGAGGAGGGTGAAAGTATGGCTATTATATGAGTGATGTCAACCATATGCATTTTTAAAAAATACATGTCATTTGTGTATAAAATATGGGTCTGACTGCTATCGCTTGCTTACACAAACTTCTTGATATATCTTAATTTATGTGGTAAGAAAAATAAGTATCCTTAATTGGGTTTCCATTCCTCTATATGGAGCTAATTATGCAACAAGAATTAAATTAAGGCCATTAAACAACCATGCTATTCAGCAGTCCCGTTTTTCAGATTGTAGGGTATCTTAAATCTCTGTAGTTGATTCAGCCAATTTGAAGAGTGTTATTTGGAAATGAAAAACTGGATGGTTGCAAAATAAAATATATGTTACCGAAAGGGGGAAAAAAAACCCTAGTAGTTTGCATTTAACCTGGGAATATGTAAATTTACAAAGTTTAGTTTCAAAGTTTTAAACTCCCTCCTCTTTCTTTTTTGTATTTTAAAATAACTACTGTACTTTATGAATTATGTTAAAGTTTTTGATTGCTTTGAACTGCAAAGCTTTGACATTATAATAGTTCTCCCTTGTCCTGTGTAGAAAACCGTGTTATGAAAATACAGTAGGCATTTTTATATAATCTTGTAAAAGAACATCATGGTTTGAAATTAAACCCCACCTTGGGAAATGAAAGATGCAGATTTTTAAAAACCGGGGTTTCCTCTTAAAGTTTGTCAAATGATGTGAACACCTCTGGCCTGAGCATTGAATTTACAGCACCAGGAAAATCAGGAAGTAAGTACATGAAAGTACTTGAAGAAATCATGAAGATGAAAGTTAGATTTAGTTCTACTATATATTTTAAAAACTCACTTTTATTATGACCGATCTTACATTATCAATGCACACAAGTTAAACTAACTTTTTTACAATGCAAAAAAGTACTTGAAGTTAAAAAAAGAGAACCTCTTGTGTAAGGATAATGCATTGTCTAGATTTTTGAATTTGAATACCTTTCGAAATTAAAAGAAACCCACTTAGAAATAAAAAAAACAGATTATTACGTTTATTTATCAGGCAAGAGAAAGATGTTTTGAGAAATGGTGTTTATTATTTTTGAATAACTCAAGATTGCAGAATTTTAAGTTTTGGTGTCTAATTCAGGGTGGAGAAGAATCCATAAATTCCCAGACAGTTAGTGGCTCCCTGACATTATTCACTAATGCTCAGAGGTGTGCAATATACAAGCGTTTCCAAGGATAAGAAAAGCGGGTTGAGACCAAAAGGGCTTGAAGCTTTAGAAGCTCGGCTTCCTCGTGAGTAAGAAGTTTTTGGAGAAAAGGTTTGATAAAGTAGATAGAACAAAATAGCAGTGCATTTCTGTCAACAAGCACAAATGTTGTTGGGCTTGGAATGAATCCCATTGGATTCACCTAATTTGATGCTGGAGTGGAATGCATGTTTCTGTGGCTGATAGTGTTGTTAAAGAGTCACGTGGAGGAACGGTTATCTAAAAAGGGCACCTGTCCAAAGGTATTCACCAGTATAATTAGATTTGCACAAACTGGCAGGCATGAGTGTAGATGTAACCTGGCAGCAGTGTTGTAAGATTCCAACATTTCCCATTTTAAGAGGTTGCGAGTTTGGGGATTGTAACTAGATGATTGTTGATTGCTTAACCTGGATCATGTTAATCTGGGGGAATCAGAAGTTGTCCAGATCTCAAGAGATATGGGAGGCTGATCACAGAGGGTACCATTTAAACCAAAAAAATAGCAAATGCATCACAAGATGCTGAGTCTTTGAACGGATCAGAAGGAGCACCCCAATTTCTTGATTTTTTTCTGACATTTCTTCAACTGCAAAGAGATGGTTTGTGTCGACAGAGGTTGGTATTTATGATCATTAATAAATGTAGTGGCTCAGTGGCTAAGACCCTGAGCTTGTCAATCAGAAAGGTCGGCAGTTCGGCGGTTTGAATCCCTAGCGCTGTGTAGCGGAGTGAGCTCCCATTACTTGTCCCAGCTTCTGCCAACCTAGCAGTTTGAAAGCACATAAAAATGCAAGTAGAAAAATGGGGACCACCTTTGGTGGGAAGGTAACAGGGTTCCGTGCACCCTCGGCATTTAGTCATGCCGGCCACATGACCACGGAGATGTCTTCGGACAGCGCTGGCTCTTCGGCTTTGAAATGGAGATGATTTAGATTAGATTTAGATTTGTTTTATTTATATGCCGCCCTATTCCGGGAGGGCGGTGAACAACTCAAGGGGGAAAGGGAACACAGAGTACAATACAAGTTGTACAAGATGAGCTCTGCCCTGGAGTCAGGAACGACTAGCACATATGTGCAAGGGGAACCTTTGCCTTTCCTAATAAATGTGGCTCTTCCAGAAGTTCGAGAACGTAGTGTAGAAGAGTCGCAGCTCCCTAAGTTCTTCATTATCTAAAAGTGCTGGTCAGGAAATTAAAAAACAAACAGACATCGGGAGGAGCAGAAAAGTGCCCGTCACTGTTGCATGTCCTTAAACATTTGGCTTCGATATTCAGAGACCACAGGAAGTTGCTTTTTACCATTTTAGGCTATTTTATGTCTTTAGCCTGATATTGTCTTGCGTGAACTGAGTGGCTGCCGAAATGCCCTTCTTCATCACATGGAACTTGAGCTTCTCTTTCTGGAAATGTCTGGAATTTATTGCTCGAAAGGAAAACACAG